AAACACATAATTATATATGAAATGTTTTTCTTTTAATTGTGTTGGTTTTCGGAGTATGAGATTTTATTTTAAAATTAAGTAGGTAAAATTATTAAAAAAAACTATGTTGTGTAACAATTAGATCTGTCTAATGTCTAACAACTAACATTATTGTTATATAATAACAATTTGGTACATGACAAACTTGTCTAATAATTTTCATATTACAGAAAATGGTGATTAAGTAATTAAATTGCGAACATTTTGATTATCCATATATCATGTTTTTGTAAACATGTTTTGCAATAACAATGGTTAGTTTTAGTGTATTGTGCTCTATTAATTTGCACTAATAAGTTGACAACTTTCCACCAACAAATTATAATATTACAATTTTATTATTTATTTACTGAATATGTTTCACAATTTTTTCCGTTTATATTCGTGGAGAAGATTGCAGTCCCGTCACGGGACTGTAGTATTTTCCTATATTTGTATTTGATTAGAAATTTCCCTCGCGACAAAAAATAAATAATACATTAATGAAACATATATTTTATGTATAATTATAATTTAAAAATGTAACTACTATAAATGCTTTGTTAAAAAGATTAAAAAATACACCCTTGTATTCTATTATTTGTTCGATTTCCTTGCGTGACGATGTGGATTATTCATCACCAACCACCACATATACCGTTTTATATCAACAATACGTAACGTTTTTATTTTATCTAATATAAGTAGAAATAATTGAAATATGTGGTAGTATAGAATTAATCCAGTATCTGTTTATTACTAATCATTAAGCGGTAGGTATTAGCTAGAAAGAATCAGTCAAAAAATTCGTAAATTGACTGATAATCTCACCAGCACGAACTCTTGTGAGATGAATCAGGTGAATCCTCAATTTTTTTTTTCTAAATAAAAATACATACTTATGAAATTTAATATTTTTGTTTAAATTTTTTTACGGTATGCAATTTTAGTTTTAATATACATATATTACACTTGAGTTGTAACCATATAAAACAAAATTTTATCAAATATATTTTCCACAATTAGGTGCAGGGATGGTGCAACACAATGGCCAAACCCTACTTGAGCTATGCCAAAATAGGGTTTTAAAATAAAATTTTGGTTTCAAATTTAATAGAGTTAGTGAACTAAATGGGCCATCCATTAAGTAAAGCTTTGAAAACAAAGCTAAGTGACTATTAAATACAACTATTAAAGAAATTGCAAGCAAGCTTAGTGTATGAGAGAGGACCATTTCTCAATAAATAAAATAATTAGGCAGACCATGATTTATCACCTGATATGAAATCTTGCGTGCAGAGTTCAGAAGATCATGGGGCAGGAAATATAGTTATTTAACTTGTGGAGGTTTATTAAAAAAATAATGCAAAGTATTGTTCAAATATAATATTGAGAATTTCACAACTTCATGTTTGGAGTGGGGAAACACTGCACTCGAGTTCAAAGCTCTTCATAAAGTGCTCCCCATTCATAAATTCACTAGAGTAAACTCTATAATAAAAAAAAAA